AAAGACCAGATGAAGGGAGCCGGGAACTTTGGCAGCCTCAAGCTTCAAAGGGTGAGGACAGGAGGGGGAGGAGGGGGGAAGAAAAGAGCTATGGGCCTGATTAAAGCCATGGGCGGACTGCTTCAAAAAGGATGTGGGCAAAATCAAGAGGGTGCAGAAGAGAGCAACGAGGATGATCAGGGTCTGGAGACTGAGCCCTACAAGGAAAGGCTAAGGGCCTTGGGAATGTTTAGTTTGGAGAAGAGGAGATTGAGGGGGACATGATTGCTTTCTTTAAATATTTGAAAGGCTGTCATTTGGAGGAGGGAAAGGAGCTGTTCCAGCTGGCAGCAAAGGATAGGACCCAAAGCAACGGGTTTAAATGACATGCAGAAAGGTATCGGCTGGATATTAGGAAAACCTTTTTCACGGTCAGAGTGGTTCAAAGGTGGAATCAGCTGCCTAGGGAGGTGGTATTCTCCCATTCACTGGAAGATTTCAAGAAGCGGCTGGATGAATATTTGTCAGAGATGCTTTAGGCTGGTCCTGCTTTGGGCAGGGGGTTGGACTAGGTGGTTGGTATGGCCCCTTCCAACTCTACGATTCTATGATTCAAAGTTTGACACCCCTGGCCTAGGGTAACTAGGGTAATAGTTGGGCAGTACAAGAAAGGCCTAAAAACACATGATGCTGGGAATGTTCCTTAATATTTTATGCACAGCTAGTAAATTTAAATTACATTAGCTGAGCTTCCTTTTCAGCCAAGAAAGAAGAACATGCCATTGAGTTGCAACTGACTCATGGCGACCCCTTCCACAGGTCATTCCAGGCATGAGATGAGTAGAGGTAGTTTCCCATTGTCTTTCTCCACATAGCAACCCCAGTCTTCCTTGGTGGTCTCCCATCCAAGTACTGACCTTGGTCATCCTTGCTCAGCTCCCAAGCTCTCATGAGCTTAGAGCAAACTGGGCTATTCCAGTAATGAAGAAAAGCTGCTATGAATTTTATATTAAAATGTGTATGTTTCCTTTCCATAAAGCTCATAGTTGATTATTATACCAACTCAGATGTGTTTGCATAGACTTACATAATTCTATTCTTAACGGCTATACTTTGTTGGCAGGAAATTATTATTTTTGTATGAAAGCGCAGGAATCTCTAATTGTGCACATCTGTTTGACACATCAGTGGATCCAACTGTAATCTAATTCTAGACAACTCTTTCCAGTTACAAAAAATGAATTAAGATGGGTAGCCATATTAATCTGTCTGTAGCAGTAGAAAAGAACAAGAGTTCAGTAGCACCTTAAAGAGTAACAAAATTTGTGGCAGGATATGAGCTTTTGTGAGTTACTGCTCATTTCTTTTCATATCTGAAGAAGTGAGCAGTTACTCACAGAAGCTCATACGCTGCCGAAATTTTGTTAGTCTTTAAGGTGCTACTGGACTCTTGCTTTTTTCTAAAAAAAGAATGATTGTTTTCTTGCTGTTTTTATTGGATTGCTGAACTATATCTAGAGATAGTTTCTGAATCTCAAAAGGTGGCATGGATGGGAAAATTTTGTCTGCTACTGCTATGCCCAGATTCTTTCAAGTTCTGATATGATAGGAGCAGTAGCACCTGAAAGAATTCTCCTTTCTATGAAATCCTGAGTTTTAGGAACTCCCTAAATACCTGTACCTGGCAAACCGAAGCAATACTTGACTTCTGAGGATAAATAGAAAAACAAAAAAGCTCCTAATAGCTGGTATTTCCATTCATGAATTAGTAAAATGTGTTAGCCAGCATAAAAGAGGTAGCATGTACATCTTTAAATATCTTCCGCTGCAAATAATGAAGAGATTCACTCATGAACAGTGCTCTGATCACATGTCCTGTTCAGATTTTTTTCTGAATAGTGTGGTATTTCCATTATTTTACCATTGTATGTGTTGGGGGGAGGAACCTACTCTTTGGATCAAAGTTTGAGTCCAGTGTCACCTTTGACCAACAAAGTTTGAGTCTGGGTATAAGCTTTTGTGTGCATGCACACACGAAAGCTTATTCCCAGAATCAAACTTTGTTGGTCTTAAAGGTTCCATTGGACTCAGATTTTGTTCTATTGCTTCAGACCAACATGGCTCCCCTCCTAAATCTACTGTTTGGATGTAAGAGATGGTCCATGACCACCAGTACCTTCTTGCGACTGCCTGCAGGGTCCAGCGTATTTTACAATACCAGCACCACCATAATTTATATGGAAGATGTGGTTGATTGTCAGGGCTGCAGATTTCTTTTAATGATTGTCCTCATTAAAAAAGAAATCTTGACACTGATCACTTTTTGTTTTTTATCTTTCAGGCTGCTGAACAAAAAGCCAAAGGTAATATAATGTTCGATTCTTTGTAAAATAGTAATTGTTTCCATCAGTTTGAAACTGAATTTTTAAAATGGACTGTAGACTTATTATTAGATGGGAAAATGTTTCATGGTGCATGTAGGTTTTGAGGGGTATATTTTTATGTTGTCGTTAAATAAGCCTCTTTAAGCACAGAGTTGATTTTGTTGTACCACTTCACACTTATGTGGTTCTGTGTTTCCTTGCTCTCTGGGCTGTTGTGACATTATTTTAACTGAGTTTAAGGACTTAAACTTAGCTTAGGTGACACAGAGTGGACTTGTGTGCTCCTCTTCGTCTATCACACCATGCTTCCATGGTTTGAGATAAATGATGTTTATGTGACATCCAAATCAGGTAAATTTTAGTTATTGCTAACTATACTTTGTCTGCAAAGAAGGGATTGAAAACATGACTCTGAAGTGCATTTCAGTCCCTCACTTGGAGGGAAACTATGAGTACTACTAACTGTAATTTGCCAGATTCAGAGGCATGATAAACTATGGTTATGTGAAGCTGTGGAAGGGAAGGGAAAGGAATGTGCAAATGTGAGGTGGTATGCCTAATCACAAAACCATGGGATTGGATCCAGACTAAGTTTTCCTTTCAATTTGATTTTTATTTTGTTTTAAATAAATCATACAACACCCTTTCAACAATAGTATAACATTAATTACATCTGAGATAAGCAGATAAAAAAATCAATAGCTATGCCACTGGTTCAATATAAAGAAAAAATGAGATAGGTTGCCTACTTTTAAAACAGCAAGGTGTTTTCTGCCTACATCTCTTAAACAGGCCAGTTCTGTTAAACAAGAGTTTAACCAGATAACAGAACCAGACTTTTTGAAACCACCACTGATGGAAGGGTTGGGTAATTTCTCCCAATTTTCTCTTCTTGCCACAGATCCATGGTTTGCCTCTCATGCTATTCCTGAGGGTCTCCTGTTCCCCAGGAACAGCATTTGGGGGAGATCGAGGGAAGAGAGTTAGAAATGTTCTGCTCTACTGACAGACGTGACCTGCATGAATGAAAAAATTAGTGATCTATGAGTGTGAGGATTGCGATCTCGCTCCCCACATTCCTTTCCAGCCCTGGGTTGATTCCTGGGGTTGTGGGCCTTGCATGAATAGCCATACAGGTCAGGACTGCCGTGGGGAGTGGGTAGGGAACAAAATTACCCTCTCTCCTCATCCTACCAGTGATTTTGCTCTCTTCCTTAGTGTACCTGTCAAACTATTAAGATCTACATCATATAAAGAAAATATACTCAAAATGTTTTACAGGTGGCACTGGTCGCCTGACAAAATGGCCAAATGTTATAAAGTCATATCAAGAAACTGTTGGAGATGTAAGAATAGTATAGGCACTTTTTTCCATATGTGGTGGCAGTGTGAGAAGTTCCATAAATTTTGGAAAGATGTTAACCAGTTAATAACAGAGATTATGGACATAGAGCTACAATTGTTACCAGAAATTTACTTGCTTAATATAATACCAGATGGGTTCAGACGTGATGATGTATGTATTTTATCATATACCATTGCTGCATCTAGAATACTTGTTGCTAAATGTTGGAAAACCGATAGCTTACCTACTAGAGAAGAGTTGATCATAAAAATGTGTGATGTGGCAGAAATGGATAAATTGAATATACTTTTAAGAAAAGATGAAAAAGCTTTCCAAAAAAAGATGGTACAAAGTAAACAAATGGTTTAGAAATAATGTTTAATGTAAAGTCCAAAATTTGATTTATATACTGCAACTTTGTTTTTCTCTTTGTAATGTAAAAATCATAAATAAATCTTTAAAAAAACAAAAAAAAGTCCACTTTGCAGCCTCCGACACCACCGCCTACGCTCTCTTCAGCGTCTGGCCTTATTCCGCTGTGTCAGTCTACAAGATCGCCTCCCGACTTGTAGTATCACCGGGACTCTCGATCTCTGTCTCCACACTCCTGTACCCCGATCCATGATTTGGAGGGCAGGGAGCATTCTGTCGGCCGCCGATCTCGGTATGATCGAAAGCGTCTCATTCGTCGTCTGTCGCCTTCCCCCTTGGGATTGCCTTCCGATGACCAATACTGGTCTCCTGATGAACGAGATCAGCCTGATTATTATCCTTATTACTATCCGAGGTCTCCTACTCCTCAGTGGCACCACTATGATCGGCTTCATCACTTTGAACGTACTGAGCATCGACGTGTTTCGGATCACGCCAGACGTTCTAGGTCCGTGACTTCGACCCGCTCTGGGGCTCCTCACCACCCTCTTGAGCTCTCGAGACCTAGGGATGCCCCAAAGAGTTCTCCCTTAGAACCTGGGCTTCATCCCCCTGTTGATGACCCTATGCCGGCTGATCTCACTGAACCGCTGAAATCATCCTTTCCCATGTCGATCTTCGACAGCTCGGATTCGGGAGACCTAGAACTCGATGTTCTGCACATTGATGATGAGCCTCAGGGCTCAGGTTCTAGTTCCCCCACTGAGGGCCCGAAAGCGTATTTGGAACTCGTAACCAGGATGGCCTTTGCGCTTCAGGTCCAGGGTTCCACTGAATCCCCGGCTGTGACCGATGTTGTTCACAAGCTTGTTCAGGCTGACCTCCCGCCTTCTACGGCCCTGCCTCTGCTGCCAGTCCACCTTTCTGCCCTTAAAGAGTCCTGGGTCCATCCCGCTTCGATTCCCCCGGGCTCCAGATGATACAAAGCTCTTTATAAGGTTCAAGAGAACTCGGGGAAGTTTCTCTTTAGGCAGCCTCCACCGAATTCTATGGTGGTACACTCTTCTTTGAAATCGAAGCAATCTGCCCGCCACTCTGCGCCTCCTGACCGTGAGGGTCACAAGGTCGAATTTATTGCGAAGAAGATGTATTCCTTCACCTCTGTGAATCTTCGTATTGAGACCTACCTGTCATATCTGTTGGCTTATGCCTTTAATGTGGCTAATGCAGCTCGTTCCATCTTGGAGTTAGTTCCAGAGGTCCCACATTGTCGGGGGCTGTATCGGAAATTTGTACGATTTTGAAACAGCAGATTAATTCAGCCCGCCATGCGCTCACTTGCTCCTCAAAGGTCCTTGTCTCCTCTGTTGCTCTCCATCGCCACTCTTGGCAAAGAGGTACCTCTTTAGAATCCAATGTGAAATTTCGGATTCAGGACCTCCCGTTCGATGGCGAACGTCTCTTCCACTCTACCACTGATGAGGCCTTGAAGGCTGTGCATGATAGTCAGAAGCAGGCCCGGAATCTGGGTGTCTCAACCTCGACATTGATACCGTTCCTGGAAACCATATTATGCCAGGCACCAGCCATCTCCCGCCCCCACCTCCCAATGGAGAAAGAGGCCCTATGACTCCCGTTACCTGAATAGGGGGCGCCAACAGGCCCCTAAAAAACCCAAGCAGCCCAAGCAGTCTGTTTGACTGCTTCGATTGCCTGCTGTCTCCTCCGTCGTACACCCCTCCGGTCCGGACCCGACTCTTCCCTTTTCTGCCAACGTGGGAAGAAATTTCCACCGATTCCTGGGTCCTCACCATCCTATGGGTCAGGTACGCCATAGAGTTTGTTTCGTCTCCCGACTTACCTCATTTTGTCATCCCCCCCCCCCCCGGGATCCTCTCCTCCATTTTGAAATTTCTGCACTTCTGACCAAGGGCGTCCCGGAGGCGCAGTGAACCCTTGTACTAAAGACGGATGGCATTTTCAGGGCCATTATGGATCTTCAGGATCTGAATTGATACATTTGATGTGACAAGTTCCAAATGGTCACCCTACAATCTATTCTTCCACTTATTCTCAAGGCTGCATGGCTCATCTCTGTCGATCTCCTGAACGCGTATTTTCATGTTACTATCCGTCCCCAACATCGAAAGTTCCTGCATTTTGCTGTCGGCAACGCACACTACCAATACCGAGTTCTTCCATTCGGACTCTGCACTGCCCCAAGGGTTTTTACCAAGGTGATGGCTTTGGTGGCTGCAGACCTCCATCGTCGTGGGATTGTCCTGTATCCCTATATCGATGACTGGCTTCTCGTCGCCGTCACGTAAGACCAGCTCCTCCTAGATGTCCAAATGACCCTGTCTCTCCTTCGTGCCCTCAGGCTTTGTGTAAACCTACCCCAGTCGTCTCTCTGACCTGTCCAGGTCCTTAATTTTTTGGATACCTGTCTCAATACCAACCTGGAGACCGTGTTTCTCCTGAACTTGACCTCTGACATACTCGCCTTGGTCTCGCAGTTCCAGACCTCTCCCCGGCAGTCCACTTGGTCCATCATGAGGCTCCTGGGGCACTTTGCGTCTACTGTCTTCATCGTCCGTCATGCCAGGTTGAGGATGTGTCCCCTCCAACTGTGGCTTCTTCATGCCTTCGACCCTCTCTGCAGTCCGTGGCACAAAATCCTGTCAATCCCACCCTTTGTCATCGACTCCCTCACCTGGTGGTCTCATCCTGAGCACCTGCTCTCCAGCATGCCCTTTCGGTATCCTCCTCTGCAAGTGTTGATTTCCACCGACGCATCCCTCTGGGGTTGGGGAGCCCAGTGTGGAATCCTTTCGGACCAGAGGACCTGGTCTCTTTGCGAGGCCACCATTCATATCAATGTCCTGGAGCTGTGTGTGGTTCATCTCACTTTCCATTTTTTCTTCCCAGGGCTTCGAGGCAGAGTCGTTCGGATTGCCTCTGACAACACCACCACCATTTACTACATAAACAAGCAGGGCGGGACTGCCTCCCTTCGTCTTTGCCAGTCAGCTATCGATCTCTGGCGCTGGTTCATCCACCATTCCATCACGCTTTCCGCAAGACATATTCTGGGCATTCAAAACATGTATGCCAATCAGTTGAGCCTCTCCCGCTCGTCAGACAACGAATGGTCCATCCATCTTCGATACCTGAAACCTGTCTTTCTTGAGTTCGGTCGCCTTGTCATCAACGGCTTTGCAACTGCAGACAATGCCCAGTGTCGCCTCTTTTTCAGCCACGG